CCATAGCCAGTATGCCCATGGTGATACTTTGATGTTCACCAAGGTCATATACTCTGTGCTCTTCTAAACCAGAGGAGATGGGTGCAGAATTAGCTGAAAAGCACTTCACTCGACATCTACTAAATGCACCAGCTGCAACACCAGAGGTTCTCCAGCTGTAAAGATGCTCCTGCCTGGTGGCAGAAGTTACATCCTCCCACTGAGCAAAGGAAGACTCCAGGTAGTTCCATGTGCACTGTTGAACTGGGGACAGCATCACAGCTCATTGCTTCACTGAGCCTGATCCTAAGGTGCCTGATTTTTTTTGTTTTTACAGCAAACTCTATTAAGAAGTCTGTAATGAAGTCTCATTTTAAACAGCATACAGCTAACTGTTGTGAACTGGGAATAAAGATATAATAAATAGGTATGATAAAATGGGTGCACTGAAACCTGTTTGATATACTATGTAAAAAATAGATTGTAAGATAATACTGTGGAAATAGATGAATACATTTCTTGTACTACTAGATTCTTGGACAGAAGTGGCAAACAATATGGAAAATAGCACATTAGAGCTTTATTATATACCTAGAAAGTTTCTGATAGGGTTTCACATTGACTGCCACAATTCAAACAGAACACAGGCATGCACAGAGGTGTCTAAAAAGCAGGAAATACTAAGCAGTGTAGATGAAAGAAAGTCTAACTAGCCAGCTTTATGATAGTAAAAAGTGATTGAAATCTGAACCTTGCTGTATTTAACAGCCTGCATGTCACATTTCCCCAGACAGCTCCTCTGAAAGGTTGACCAATTTGTTTCAATACAGTGGCCACTCAACAGCACCAAAAAAGACAGCTCCAAAGCACTGTATGGAAATTCTTCTTCCAAATGTACAATGTGAAGCCTAAAGTACAAAAGCAGTTAATTTATCACAAAAGCAGAGATTCCTACGGTAACTAATTCAAACTGCTGATGATGCACTAAATCAGAGTGAGTGATGAACACATACATAGCAGCAAGTGAAGTTCAAAAGGATACAGATCTATGTGATCAATGAGCTGCCACATGGCAAAGGAAATGCAGTGTTGACAAACGTACAGTAATAGAGATGAGGCTCCAAAATAATCAAACCAAATATAAGAAAAATTTAAATAAACCAGTGCAGAAATGTCTCATTACAGAGCTGAAGGTACATCTAAGTACCAGACCTTCAAATCACTGGGCTTTCTCTCTATATTTAACATGAAAAAATCCCCACTGATAACTTGAAGAGGTGCCTTGCCACAAAGCAGTAAAACCTTCCAGGAAATGTAATACTGTGACACCAGTCATGTAAGCAACCATCTATTTCAAGCACACAGATTAGGAACAACAGCCTACAGATGAAAATCTCACACAAATCTAATATTATATTGTATATTACTGCCCTGAATGATGACTGAATGATAAGGCTAACTTAGAGCTTCTTCCTCTACCAATCTATGCAGTTCAGAAACATAATCAGGGCAAGTGGTGCTGACCAAGCCTCTTCATGCTCTAATCGCTGTCTAGCTGATTAATGGCTTTTTGACTGAAAAGCAACACCACTTTGTAAGAAGAGTACTGGCATTCAGTGACGTGCACCTCTTGAATTTCCCTGGAGCATAAGAAACTTTGCACGTCATGAAAGATCTCAGGACTTTTAAAAAAGAAAGAAATCACCTACTGTGAGAAGGAAGGGTTTATTAGACATTTTCTGCAAAAATAATAGCTGTGGCTTTCTCGTATGCAAGTGTTACCAGCTGTGGTTATTACTGTCATTATTCAATTATTCATTACAGCCAATATAAATATGTTCTCTTTGGTTTTGTCTATGGAGTACTATGTGAAAACAGTGAGAAAGTTCTGTCTTTCTTACTAAATCTTCTGTTTGAAAATGTCAAATGATTCAAGACATCATATGTCATTGAAGGGCTTCCAGAAAATCATACCTTCACTAGGTAGTCTCCTGGCTGCAGTTTTATTGTGGAACTTCCACACTACAATCCAATGGTCTTTCAGTCTATTTACCATGACAGGAACAGGCCAGTTATTCTTGACAGAGGTGAATCTTTCCAAAGCCGTCTACGCTGTAAAACTGAGCATCTCTACTACAATTTTACCTCCTTGCAGACTCCTCAACAGAACAGTTTGCTGAACTGTTAGGGATCATGTGCACCTTTATACATTTGCTTCAACTCATATTCATTGTTATAGAATACCCAACAAACAGCCCCAGTCTCCTTCATCAACTTTTTTCTTCTTTTTAACACAATTGATTGTTTTCTTTGGCATATAAGGGATTTTTCTCCCCCAGGACATCTTGATCTGCTCTTCAAACAGTCCACCTGGCAGGTGATAGCATGTAGTTAGATTAAGAAAAAAGTGGTAACGACCAAAAAAGGTAGCTACCCCATTTGCTTCTTGCTCTAAACCTTATCTTTTCCTCTCCTTAACCCAAAGGTTAGCATATTTGGTGTAGCTTCTCTTCTATAAAAGCTCTGATTCTGTAGCTCTTAATTAGATGATGAATCATACCTTGATTTTGATGAAACCACAAGCACTCAACGCAAACACAAATAAAGGGCTACTCATTTTGGTTTATGCTAGTGTAATAAGCCTACAGGAATACTCTTTTTTATCATCTGTGAAACACGTAAGGACATATCTAATACACTAAAAAGAACTGAAATAATATTAATACTGTTAACACTGATGTGCTCCATGTACTGGAGGCTAATGAAAAACAAAACAAATAAGATAAAGCGAAGGTCCTTCAGAACTCAGTTACTCAGCAAGCCATTAGAATAACCCAGGAGGAATGAACCGTCAAGTGCACTTTCAGAGTATTCGTTATTTGAAGAGATTTATATATAGTAGTAATACTCGATTTTGCAGCTATCCTTGAGAAAGGCCGTTTAGCTGAACATCAGAATTCCATGATAAAACTGGATTCAAGGCAACATAATGCTAAATCCCAAGTAATGCTGCCAGGCCTAAAGAGCTAAGAAGCCTAAACCAATGCATGATAGAAAGGGTAAATTAGTCCTCCAGTTCCCCTTATCATTAGCAAAGCTAGCCTTCCAATTCTACAGTGCAGGAACATTATTTTGTTAGATCCACAAAACACAAAGAATTAAATGATTGACAGACATTTCCAATTGTATAATTTGTAGCTTATGAATAAGCTTACGAACTTTATGTTTTATTTTGTTCAACTTGGACACACACACATAGAAAATCTCTATCTGGATTTCAAACAGTTTTTATAAAAGAAGTTCAAATATCATCTTCGTACTGAACTGATGCCAAGACTTTCACTAGTCAGATTTTCACAGTTAGATTTTTCATAGACTTTCATTAGCAAACAGAAGAGTTTCTATTTAGAGTAGAATTGGTGAAAAGCAGAAACAATAGGGAACCACTCAAATCAGAAAACAAAGCTCCATTACAACTTTATGGTAATTATGATTATTTAATCCCTGCATAGCCCTATTCTTTGATCTGAACTTTTTTCTAAATTTATTTCAGGACAACTTACACACTGTTATTTCTCAGGCAAATGTAGAAGAAAATAGAAAAATGGGGTTTGAGATGTACATATTAAAACTTTCCCTTTCTAAAATCCTGAGTAAAATGCTTTTTTGTCCATATGAACAGACCTGTGCAGGCAAAAGTTTCTGGCTGCAAAATGGAGTTTGCTGGACTAAGGACAGAAGTCTTGTTGGCTTAAATGAGATGAGGGTTTTGTGACATAAACAAGATTTTATAAAGGAAACTTTTGATTTCAAGATTTCTTATCTGGATAAGAAGATTATCTAACTGATCTGACCTCATGTTACAACTAAGAAAACGATCCAACTGGGTCCTGTGAAGAAGTTATGCTGCAAACCTTGAATGTCCTGTAAACTCTCCAAAAAGAGCTGTATTTCCCCAGCAGGTTGCCTTTCATTGCCTATTGCATGGAACACACCTCTCTGACATAACCAAGGCATTTATTTAACTTTTGGTTTGTATTTTATCTTCCAATTTATTTTGGTTAGAGGTAGAATTATTCTGTTAAAAAATCCTAGATGTAGTTTATTTAAATTTCAAGATGAAAAGCTTACTAAGAACAGATAAGATTGATTGCTCTTTCCATCTTAGCATAATTGTATTTCAGGTGAACATCAATTTACTTTAAAGGACACTTCTAAGTAGCAGGCTGCATCATACATAATTCATCAATCACAGCTGCCTGTAACATGATTTACTCAAGCAGATTTCAATGGAATCGAGGGAGTCGCATTGTTTTTTATGCTTTGGCTTGTTTGGTTTTAAATAGTTTACGAAACACTCATTTGTGCTGAATTATTGCTGAAAAGAGTTCATCCTTGGTAATCAGCATGTTGAATTTCTTTCTCTTCGTACAGAAATGTTACCTCTTTAAATTTCTTTTAAAAGGCAGAGTGAGTTTTCAAAACATCGTTAAGGCAGAGACCACTCCATGCTTATCAAAGGTAAAAATAAAGCTTAGGGATTTTGCTATGGGGAAAGGGAAGGCAAAAACATTTATCTGAAAAGCATTACTAGTTTTAGGGCTGTGTATTTTGTAGCTGGCTTGACATCATTTGTTATTATTTGTTATACCAGCACACAAATGTAATTGAAGAGAAGTAGCTCTTTCCTCAGCTAACCCTTCACACAGTTGTCACATGGATAAAATGGCTTTTACGTGGCAATCTGTTCAAAACGGACACAAAACCGTTTGCCAGTTAAAGTGCAATCGCTTGATACACCAAGAAACATAGGTGAAACTGGGGGCACTGCAATGTGTGTTACACTACTCAGCGTCTTCCGTCAAATTCAGCTTCAGGGACATGTTGGTGCCTCAGATGGTCCTGAAGTAAAGAAACATTTCCACAAATAGATGCAAATATAGTTTAAAAAGAAAAAAGAGAGAGTGAGAGAAACTGCTAGAAAAGCACACCTACACAAAGACAGAAATGCCTTTACTTACTTGTAAGCCCATTTGAAACACAGAGTGACCCATAAAGTTAGCCAACATTCGAATTAGAGCTGCACCCTGTGGGAAATAATAGAGAAAAAAAGAAGTTACCGGTTTTGCATGTCAGTATTACACAATAATAACAATCTGAAGTAGGCATTTCCATCCAACACTATCATCTTGGAAACTTGTGATTAATATAATCTTTATTTGTGCTGGAATGAAAAAGAGAGAGAGAAGATAAGGCAAATGCTTACAAGGAAAAGTGAGGAAGTAGACTGATATTGTTCATATCCTGCCCCATATACTGAATAAGGTGCAGGTCGTAAAACACCCTCTTTCCGCTGAAAAAAAAAGAGCACAGATACGTCAGCTCCACAGCTGGTTGCCCCCAGGCCTTCTGGGCACTCAGCAGTACTGCACAGTTTTAAATGAGGGCAAAAAATAACGTCCATGCTAAATTCTACCAGAGTGGTTATTCATAATATTTTTACCTCCATTATACTATTGTAAATCAGGACTTAGTGATACTACTTTCCTTTGTAAAAGCCTTCAAGATCAAATGATCTGGAAGTGGATCATTTTTGTAAGAATTTTATAAGATGTGGATATACATATTTGACTTATTAATAGTCAGCTTATTTCCCAGACTGCCATGCAAAGAGGTAAGTACTTGTAGAACACTC